CCAGACAATTCTCTTTATCTCATGCCCTTCACATAAAATAACATTTGCTTGCTCCTGAGGGCAGCAGAAAGGATAGCAGAGCAAGAGCCCCGGGGCTATCAGTGCCACCCCTCTCTCCCAACAGATCCTGAGAACAGCCCTTTCCCTTTGCTGCGATTCCTTAAGTACATTCCTATTTGATGACAGTATTGACCTATTTTAAGGAATAATTGCACTGATTTTAAGCGAGCAGGACGCTAATGTCCCAAGCTTTGTTTCCCAGCTCCTGCTGCCCTGTCTAGAAAGTGTTTCTAGGGATTCTTTGGGCTGCCTTTGCTCTGGTTCCCGACTGTGGGAAAAGTAAACAAGCAATTGTTTATACGCCAGCCCTCACCTTCTGCGTGCCGGAACACTCGCTCCTGTTTTAGGCAAATTGCTAGAGCAAGAAAGAGACACACTCATCACTGGTTTGGGAATGCTTATTATTTCAATGCAGAATTTTAGATCTATGGGTTTTTTGCACTTTTTTTTTTAAAGCTCAGCAGTCTTATAACTTGTGCAAACAGATCTGAAGCTCTCAGGGATGTGATCAACACRTGGAAAATCTATTTCAGATTCCTTTACAATGATGCACTGTAAATCACGATGGTTGAGGAGCCGACTTATAAGCAGGAAGGCTGCAGAAAGGTGCACGTGAAACTGTCTTCCTACAGGTCACATGGTGTAGGTGCTCCCGTTCTGCCCCACGGTGACATTGGTGACATCACAGAATTTTAAGTTGAGGCATTTCCAGAGTTCCTCATCCCACATCCCATTAAATTGTCTTTCAGAGATGCTTTTTTAATTCCATTTCAGAGTACAGTTTCACTAAAACAAAATTACAGTCATTAGGTGACCTAACTATATTTTCCGCATGTTTCAAAATTCTTGGGTGAATCACTAAAAAATGCTATCACATCGATCAAAGCGTCTACAGAAAAGTTATCCTTGTATATTAAGTTCCACTGAACCGATTCCAAATCCTCGAGTTATCGCTCTGAAATACATTGGTAGTCTAATGTCTGTTAAGCAAGTGTCACCCTAACATTGCAGTCTATCGTGAGATGTAACCACCACCTTAGCTGTCTCGGTGACTCAATCCAGAAAGGATTGCGGTGATCCAAGCTAGTTTCAAGAAAGGATTGTGGTGACTGGAGCTGGTTTCACCCGAGGATGACTTCTCCAGGCTGCCACTGTGTCTTGTGTGCCGCTAAGGCTGGAGCTGCAGATATGCAGGATACTCCTGAGGATGCTCAGCCATCCCTCAGAAAAACCTTTTCTATATTCAGAATGAACAAAACGAAAACAAATAAAGGACCTCGGTTTTCCTTAGATGTTTTCCAGACTGCTCGGCTGAATCTAAAAGAAATGCAAATCAGTGTTTCAAATGGAAGGGGCTCTGCTAAGCTCCACACCCTGCCCACCGGCCAGGAAGTGCTGGATACTCCCCGCTCCTCCGCTTACTGAACTGCCTCGGTCCTAAGGGATTTGTTGGCATTTGAGAGCTGGAGGTGGCTACAGGTACCCTGGGGGACCTGGYTGGGGAGAACAAGTTGCTGTTTGCAGGCAGCACGACAGAAAGCCACAAGTAGCTGGTATTAATGACAACATCTTTTATTCAGATAGCATTTTTATGGTTTTATTGTGAAACATTAAAAGAAAACTTATTAGCATTTTAGTTGCTTAGAATTACTTTGATACGGCTAAAAGTGAACGGTGTCATTTAGTAGAGCATAAAAACGAACTTTCAGGAGTTGCATTAGGTATTAGGAGAGTTGCACTGGAGTCTCTGTTAAGCTCATGCTGATGTATGCGACAGCTTCATTTAAGTCAACAAAGCATCGAGGTCTGCACAAATTCCAATACCATTTGATACAGAAGATTACTACAAAGAAAGGTCTATGGGGAAGATTAACATTAAATGTTACCTATCACAAAATTAGTAGGTAGGCGGATGGCTTTGAACTTACTGCAGGAGTATGATATCAACAGCCATCAATGAGATGATAGAAATACAAAAACAAAAATACGTGGCAATCCCTGCCTCCTGAGAACAGTTGTTTTCAAACATCTGCTCTCTCATTGAACTGCTTTATAGCATTGTTTTGACATAAATACATCTCTAACATCTTTTATCCTATAGAATTCTTTTAATAGTTTTCTGAAAGCCATTTTAGGCACTTACTGCAATTAGCAAGCCTACTTAAACCTTATTTGTACACTCTATTTTCTTTGCCCAGTGCTGGCAAGTCCAAACAGCACTGATACTAGCTGCTATGGAGCAAATAATGTAAACATGAGGTGAAGATTTAGACAGCTGAATTCCACGCAGAATTCTTGCAGCAACAATGCCACAGAAAACCAGCAGCCCCTGTGCAAACAAACAAACGCAGTATGAGAAACAGTAGTTTATTGGAAAAAAAAATAGATGCAAATTGTACCTGTAAGCTCCAAAGTTTTCGACTTTCAACTGTGTCTTAGGTGACCATTTTCTTTTTGCTCTGTACAGTCTATATTCTATGGGAAGTGAGGCCTGGTTATAAATAACATTGTTTTTTCAGTGATTAATAACTGAGTTTATAATRATCTTGTAGATCATGGCGAATGAACATCAGGATGGATTAGGCAGGGCTTGTTTGACCTGCTCAGCTAGAGGGGAACACCAACACTTTCCATTTGATTTCAATTTGCAGTCTGAAGCAAAAGGCTCATCTGGAAAACTAGGAGCACGTCGCCTGCCTGCCTGCCTACCTAGTTAAAATACTGTTCAGGGCATATTCATCTCAATTAAGTCCCAACGAAGGAACASTTGTCATCTCCAACAGCTTCAAGTCAGCAAGGTTCATTACTGCATTTTCCACTTATATTCCTAACATTCTCAGCCGCGGAGCAGTAATTCAGTCTCCTGGCAATTTTATTCTAAGAGGATCTCTCCTGAGAACAGGCTGCTAAAGACAGTTTTGTATTTGACCCAGTACTGGAACAAAAAACTCCACTTCAGTTTGAGTTACAGTTTGGGTTTGATCCAGGACTGCAAATGGCACCACACGTTGGGATTTTTTTTTCCTGTAGGAAAAAAAATCACACACCAAATCACCACATTTCTACCTTGGTGAAGGCGGCATTCCCAAAAGTGCTCCTCAGTGATGCTCCTCTGTTCTGTCCTCTATAGTTCATGATGCAAAATGGAAAAGCACATCCAATTGTTTCTCATAATTAAAAATATTTTAAAAAGAGCATATTCAAATTTGAGCTACATATCATTTATGTAACTTTGGGGGGGCRTCAAAACCTCTTTCAGCTTAACACATGTATTTGGAAAGAAATCTTAGCACTACTGCAAACAAGAGGTTCATTAACTTCATCCGTTGCAGCATTCTACCATTGCTTCTTAAAAAAAATCACATTACCAATGTGTCTATGAGACTACTTAAGATTACTCAGGGATTCTGTACAAAGTTGCTTTCCTATGACTAGCGAATGGAGGGAAGAACTAACTAAATGTTATGTTCCAGCAAAGCTCCAATAATCTAGCTGAAACGTTTTCCCAATTCTCATTGGTTAAAAGTGGAAATCTTCATGGGACATGCTTAGAAAATGAATCAAAACTGATTTACGGTGAATTGTCTTAATTTCTTTAGTTGCTATGAATACAGATATGGCCCGAGACTCAATTGCAGGTATTTGTATCTGATTGTGATCCAAAATTAATGCTTATATTAGTATGATAACAGAGACTTTACAGAGCCAACTTTGATTTCAAGTGTGCGGTGAAAGATGAGAAGTGGGCCCCAAGAATGCAACATAAAAATGGTGGTTGTCATAAAAACCACTGTCCGCAAGCAGGTTACGAGCAGTGATGGAGCTGGACTGCCAGGGCAGGAGAAGCTTCGGGAAGGACAGCGGTTAAGGACACGGAGGCAGGAAGAGGAGGCCTGGAGGGGACTGAGGAYGGGTGGCCGGGAGCCGATGGAGGTCTCTACCGTTGGACTTGGCGATCTTGAGGGTCTCTTCCAAACATGGTGGTTCTGCGACTCCCTCTGCTCCCTCTTCCCAAATGGAGCCCACAACCTGCTTCAGCCCCTCGTGACAGCGCTGGGGTCCCCCTGCCCAGCACAGAGCAGTGCTCAAACATGCCAGGACTGGAGCGTGACCCGCAGCATTGCCGTGACCCGTGGCACCGCCAGCCGTGACCCGCGGCACCGCCGCGACCTGCGGCACCGCCGTCCGCTACCTGCCCCAGCGCCCGCTCACGGGCCCGCGCGCCGCCCCGAGCACGGAGCGCGGCCGCCGTCCAGCTCCCGGCGCGCCGTCACCCTCTGCCCCGCGAGCACCTGCCACCTTCGTGGGCGCCACGGGCGCCGCGACAGCGGCCAGCCCGCTCCGGCCCCCCTCGAGCGGTAAAGCCAATAAAAATAAATAAATAAATAGGGCAGTAACCGCCTTAAAAAGCCCAGGTTCCGCCAGCACCAAAGCGCCCCGCGACGGCCGCGTCCCCCCCGCGCTGCGCGGGCGGCCGCCTCCTTCCTCCGCGCTCCCCGGGGCGCGCGCGCGGCCGCCCCGCCACGAGCGCCCGCCGCGGGCAGCGGCCGCTCGACGGCGCGGCCGGGTTCGCGCCTTGGCGCGCTGCTCCCCGGCTCGGCTCGGTTGGGCCCGGCTCGGCTCGGTTGGGCTCGGCTCGGCTCGGCTGGGCCCGGCCCGTCGGCGCGTTCCGTGGCGCGGCGGCGGCCTTACCTGTGCGCGCCTCTTCCAATGGCAGCGCACCTGGGCGCGCGCCGCGCCCAATCAGMGCGCGGCTCGTCCCTCTGCCCCGGCTCCTTTAGTGGAAGAATCCGGCGCCGCTCGGAAAGTTACCTGCGCGCCCGGGCCGGCCGCTCCGCCGCGCTCCGCTCCGCCGCACCGCGCCGCCCCCCACATGCGACGGGGAGGCCGCCCTACCTGTGCTACCTGGCCGCGTGCGGCAGCGCGGGCCCGAGCGGACGCGAGCAGGGGGCGCGGGGAAAGCAGAATTTCCAGTAGCTCTGGTTCCGTCGCCCGCGCGCACTCGCACTCGCACACACCTCCACCTGCACAGACTTGAAAGTCCAGTTTCACCAGCGGGACTGAGGCGCCGGGAAAAAAAGGGGAGCGAGTTCATTGGATCAAACATGTCACAAGAGACGGACAAGTAAGTGATCACAGGCGTGCTGCTGCGCCCGCTGCTCCGGGCTGATCGGCCCGACTGGTTTGTTGTGTTTTTTTTTTTTTTTTTTTTTTTTTCCCTCCCTCCTCTTCCCCTCTCCGGTGGTGGATGCGGACCTGCTGGGATTGGGTTTCTCCCTCGATAAAAAGACACCCGAGGAACAGGCAGAGCAGCTCCCCGAGGTGCCGAGGACAAAGCTGCACCCGGCGCCCCCCCACAACCTCGCTTTGCATCCGGCTCTGCGGCGGCTTCTTTCCTATTATTTTCCCGACTCCTCTTTTAGTTGACTTATTTTTCCTGATTTTGTTTTGTTCCCCCCCGCACTTCCAGAGACTTTCCTGGCGGGGCAGCAGCAGCGACGGCGGCTCCCGCTCGCCGGAGGCCCCGTCGGACGCTGCCCCTCGGCTCTTAGGCGAGCGCAACAAAGCGCCGTCGCAGGCCGCGGGCACGGCCATCTTCCCGCCTCGCCGCCCCCGGGCACCTGCCCGGGAGCCGCGGGGTTRAAGAGTCACCCCCGCGCCTCGCCCGGCCCCGGCGG